CACACTGCAAGCTGTTCATACACGCATTTACGGCAGAACGACTTTCTGGACTAGCTCCAAGCTGAGCAGCCTTGGTGATGATGGGTGAAGAAGTCACAATGCACAAATCCTAAAATCCAAAGGGCACACAGCAATTTGCTGCATTGTGACCCTGTAACTCAAGTTTATAAGTTCAAATTTTGGGCTCAACATTTCCAAGGTAACCCCTCATCCAAGCCCAATCGTCCCAGAAAGCCAATGCCACCACAGGGGTGGCTTAGGAACTTGTCTTGGCCTCTCTTTCTCAGTGCCTCCCCCAATAAAAGTGACTTGAAGTAAGACAGAGAAGAGCACTTGGAGGGAGGGATGGCCAAGGTCCAGTTGGAAATAAGCTTTAGCATCTGGATGCAGCAACTGCATGGGGTCAGTTTTCTATGGAAAAAGTCTGGGCAAAGGTAATGTTTTCTGCACAACTATTCTGGAGAGAGAATTGGAAAGCACGAGAAAATCCTTGATGGGTGTTTGGTGATGATAATAAAACCAATCATCCATGGGAAGGGAGTATGTGTGTCTTTCTAGGAAGAAGTAAATATCAGCGGCACCAGCTTGAAATGAGTGAAAAATGAGTCCAATTCTCAGTCAAACGAAACTGCAAGGGCTCCAGAGCCAGAAAAGATCTTAGCCTATTTTTTTCTTCATCCTGAAGATAACCAGATGAAGATGTTTTAAGTACCAATCTATTCACATATTTGGAATAAAAGATTTGCTTTGTAATGGAATATCTGCATTTAATTGTGAAAATAATAAAAAATATCTTTTTTAAAATCTGTAGTTTAAGCATTTTTTTTGAGTTGGAGTCTCACTCTTGTCACCCAGGTTGGAGTGCAGTGTCACACTCATGGCCACCGCAGCCTTGACCTGCTGGGCTTAGACAATCCTTCCACCTCAGTCTTCCAAATAGCTGGAACTACAGACGCGCGCCACCATGCCCGGTTAGTTTTTGTGATTTACTGTAGAAACGCGGATTCACTAAGTTGCTTGGGCTGGTCTTGAACCCCTGGGCTCAGACACTCCTCTTGCCTCGGGCTCCCAAAGTGCTGGGATTACAGGCTGAGTCACCATGCCTGACCTATGGGTGTTTTAATTTTGTTTTCTTGTTTCTCTTCTTTCCCCTCCTTTGTTTCCTTTTTCCTCTTTTCTCATGTCCCTTCTCTTCCGCTTTGTATCTGTGACTGTATGACACTGTCCACACCATACCACCTCATACCATGGACAATGTGCTCTCAGAGCAGACACTTTCAATGTGGCTTATTAGAGAAGATATGCATATGAAGCAAAGAATAACAAGCTTTCTCTTATAGTGTCCTATATGACAACAGTGTGCTTTAAAAGCAGAGACAGAAATTGGCAAGAGAATAAACAAGAATGAGTAAATGGTAAGGAAAGGTGATTGGCAAAGAAACCGTGCAAAAAGGTAACTGATGGGATCAGGAATGTCTCCAGGAATGCGCTTGCTACCTTGAGTTGCAGTCTCCTATCTATAAAATACAGATAATAACTGTGATGATCTCACAGGAGTTTGGGGAGGATTAAATGAGATGATACATGAAAAGTTCTTAGAATTGAGACTGGGAAATAAGCCTTCAAAATAACATTAGGCATTGTGATTATTACGAATGTCATTCAAGGCTTAACAAGACTATGCATATAAATCCCTCTCATAGAAAAATACTCAATAAACTTTAAATATTATTATTAATATTAGCACTATTATACTTACTATTTTTATTTTATGCTGGCTTCTCTCTCCTTACCTGGCCTCTTTGGGCTGATGGTTTATTGGGCAATGTGTTCTTGATTCAGATTTTACCCCATTATGTAGGCTTTTGGGCTTCCTAAGATTTCACTTTTTGTATCCCATGAGTCAATCATGCCCTACGCCTAGGCCCAAAGAAACTGTATGTATAGAATTGTTCAGAGTGGAGCTACAAATGTAGCTTGACTGGTTGACAGTGCAACACTAACTAAATAGATGAGCCTAACAATTCCCACGACTCCTGCGGAAAACCGCAGGAATATATGAAGACTTTTTAGTAATAGCAACAAAGAAGCCACATTTTAAACTTAAAATCAGGCTCATGAAACACTAACCAATTATTGTCAACAGAGTTACATCATAACATTTGGGTTAAGGTGGCTTACATCCATGGTAGTGGAACAAACTTTGAGCCAAATACTGGGGAAAGCAATTCCAACTGATACAGATGTTCAATTTGTATATTAAGCCTCTGAAGACTTACTGTGGCCAGGATCATGGACAATACATGCTGCACAAAGAACTGGCTTACTGGATCATTATCCTTATTAGGCAAAGCTTCTAGATTGTGTCATCTATGAGTTCTGGGTCTGCTAAGGGTGATTATGTTATGATGTGAGGTTGAAAAGGGCTCTATTTCAGTGATGGGTCATCAGTGTGCCACAGAAAGGGAAATAATATTTAACTTGAAAGCTGTATAAATATACAGTACTGGTTTAAATGAGAATGTGAAGGGTTCTGCAGTCCCACTGTACAGCAGGCATACAATGATAACGTCCTTCTCAATTTTTCTATCACTGGTTATTGACACCAAGCAGATAATATTTGTTTCATACTCACTCGGCTTCCCTACCAGAGCATGAGCTCTGTGAAAGCAAGGACTGGTGAGGTCAGATTCATTTAATTCATTTCTGTGGACTGGCACAAGAGCAAAGGCACAGAACGTGCTCTATTTTTTGTTGTTGTTGTTGAGTCAGATATGCACTCTTTCGTCTAGGCTGGAGTGCAGTAGTATGCTCAGGGCTACCGCAGCCTCGACCTGCTGGACTCAGTCGATCCTTCCACCTCAGCCTTCCAAGTAGCTGGAACCACAGGCATGTGCCACCACGCCCGGCTAATTTTTTTATTTATTGTAGAGATGAGGTCTTGCCAAGTTGCTCAGGCTGGTCTCGAACACCTGAGTTCAGGCAATCCTCTCGCCTCTGCCTCCCAAAGTGCTGGGATGACAGGCTTGAGCTACTGCGCCCGGTTAGAACGTGCTCTTAAAATCCATCCACCTAGCTGGGCTCGGTGGCTCAGCCTGCAATCCCGCGCCTTTGGGAGGCTGAGGTGAGTGGATTGCCTGAGCCCGCGGGTTTGAGACCCACCTGGGCAACTTGGCGAGACCTCATCTCTACAATAAATCAAAAAATTAGCCGGGTGTGGTAGCGTGTGCCTGTAATTCCGGGCTACTTAGAAGGCTGAGGCAGAAGGATGGCCGAAGCCCAGCAGGTCAAGGCTGCAGTGGCTGGGAGCGGCCACTGCACTCCAGTCTGGGCGACGGAGTGAGACTCCAACTCAAAAAAAAAAAAAAAAAAAATCCATCCACCCAACTATGCTTCCACCTACTTTGAAAGAGAATTTGAGGCAGTTATGTATAAAAGAGCAATACACTAAGAAGTGGAAACTAACAGTTATTTGCATGCATATCCATGTTTGGATAAGATCACTATTAATTTGGCTGAACATGTAGAAGAATGAGTAGCAAAAAAAATCAGATCATAAACAGACATTTTTGATATAACTATAATGGTGAACTTGGGTAATTCAGCCTAGGTCTCACTTTCCCCTGTATTCCACATCTAATCCCAAGGAAGCCCTGCTGATCTCTTGACTTCAATTCAGTCATTGTGACTGTCTTCATTCAAGCCATCATGGCTTTTTGTGTGTGGAGTAACCTTCTAAAACTGGTCTTCCTGCCTCTGGCCATCTGTCCTCAGGCCTCCTCCCTCACAGCTGCTAGCCAGCAGTGGTTTTACAACTGAGATCTGAACATGTCCACCTCCTCTTTCAACCTTTCACTGTTTTTCTTTGGACTACTAGATGAAGTTCAATTCCTTAACTTTTTTTTCATGGAAGTCTTAAGATGTGGCTCCTGCCCTGCTCTCTAACTTTTATTGTAAGCCATGCTTCTGAGAAGAATTATGTCGCAGCTAAAATTTTGGACTATTTGTAATGACCCTCAAAGAAGCCTTGTTATTTTTTCATTTCCATGTCTTTCTTCCCATGCAAATGCTCCTGCCTAGAAGACCATCCCTATCCTTCTTTGCCTGGTTTGTCCCTCTTATCTTTTAAGGCTCAGCACAGATGCCTTCTCCCCTGCAAAGAGTTTCCTAATCTAGCTTTGTGCCCACTCTGCACCTTGTACTTCTGCTACAGCAACTCATCTCATTTTGTGGTTTTTGTCTCTCTTTTTAGACAACTCCAATAATTCAACAAATAGTTATTAAGCATCTTTTATGAACCAGGCACTGATCTGGATTCAAAGAGAAATATAATCTATGGGCCTTGTCTTTAGGGAGCTCATAGACAGATTAGTAACCGGTAAGAATAACAGTACAGTAAGAGCTGGAGTTATGTCTTAATGGACAAGTAAAATTATCAAGGTGACAAAGAACTCCCAAAGCAGAGGAAGGGAGAGTGGAGTGGAATAATAGGACCCATGCCTAGCTTGGGAGGCTGAGGTGTGGGGATTGTCTGAGCCCATGGGTTCGAGGACAGCCTGGGCAACTTGGCGAGATCACTGCCATGAGAAAAATGGGTTGGTGTGGGGAAAGGTCGGGTGAAAAGGACTAGTCATCACTGCTTGGAGTAACACTCATTCCTTTAGCAAACAGATGCAGCACATGCATCACACGTTAGGATGTGCACTAAGCAAAAGTTAACTCTGTGGTAGCGCATGCCTGTAATTCTAGCTACTCAGAAGGCTGAGGCGGAAGGATCGCCGAAGCCCAGCAGGTTGAGGCTGCGGTGGCCGGGAGCGGCCACTGCACTCCAGTCTGGGCGACAGAGTGAGACTCCAACTCAAAAAAAAAAAAAAAAAAAGGTTAACTCTGACTCAGGAATGTGCAGAGCTTCCAGATACTGGGTTATATGACAAAAAAAAAGGGCCAGTCATTGCCCCCCCCAAAAAAATCATAACCCTACTATGATAGTGTCAACTCACCAGTTTTCCAGTGACGCTCTGACCACCTTCATTGAGCCAGAACCCCGGGACCATGGCCGAGAAATAAGGCCCCCAGACGCCTGGTACAAAAATCGGGTCTTTACTGATCTGGAAAGAAAAAGGCAAAATATGTGAAAACATTGACCCTCAGGGTTGGAGGGAGCTGTATCTTCTAACACCTGATGTTTCTATAGCTGTGGAATCAAGCTTCTTATTGAATACCTTTTAGGGTGGGGAAGTCATTCTCTCCCAAGAAAGGTCACAGCTTCTTTTTAGGAAACCTGACAAATCCAGTTAAATGTCAAGGTAGCAAAAATGATCGTTTTGAAAAGCCATTTCCTTGATGGGTTTCTTTGTAAGGCAGAAAATGCAGAAATGGTCCCCATTTTCCACTCTTCCTATATCTATACCCTTTGCAATAAGACATTGTAGCTCCTCACACTGAGAGGTGGGTCTGTCTCCCTAGCCTGTGAATCTGGGACAGCCTGTGGTTTGCTTTGCGAAGAGAATGAAGCAGAAGTGTCTCAAGAGGGCTGTGTGCATCTGTTCCATCTCTTGCTCTTCCACCTTGGCCATGAGAACGTGCCCAGGCTAGACTGCTGGATGAAAAGACATGTGCCATAGAGCTGAGTCAGCTCAGCTGTCTCAGGTGATGTCTCAGATATGAGAGGGAACTCCCAAAAACCTAGAATTAATTTATTAAACAGTGTGTATTAATTCTTACATGTTTAAACTTCAGTCATCTTCAAAGTACTTTCCGTTTGATATAATATACCTATCAAGCCACTTTTCCCACTGCTCAAAACAGTTTTTGGACTCATCAATTTTGATGTCCTTTAGTGCTTCTGCCATCTTTTTTCCCCCATCTCTTCCACACAGGCAAAACCTTTCCCTTGGAGAACTTTTTTCATTCTGGGGGAAACCAAAAAAAAGTCACTTGGAGAGAGATCAGGTGAATAGGGAGGGTGGGGAATGGGAGTCAAGCTGTTTTGGTCAAAAACTGCTGAACACTCAGTGCAGTGTGGGCAGGTATGCTTGTAAATCACCCATCATGAAAAGGGCAGACATAATGAAAGACTCTCCAAAAAAAAAAAAATTCTCTGAAGCCGAATGCAGCCTCACAACAATGCTAGCTGGTACATTGACGCTGATGGGTTCCCAGAACACTTACCTAGTGGAGAAAGCCTATAATACAAAGCAGCTGCCCTCCAAAAACTAATTTTTTTTTTGGTGGGGAGAGAATTCCCCCTCATATATGAGAGACCCCAGGCAAGACCAGCAAACCCTCTGGGGTGGCCAGCAGATGACTAGCCCCGATTGTCACAATCCCCTAGCCAACCAACAGACTTAGGAGCAAAATAAATGTCTACTGTTGTATGTCACTAAGGTTTGTGTTTGTCTGTTACCTAGCATTTTTGTGATAATAACTGATATATATGCTTTCCTTCTTTTTCACACATTATCTACCAGCATGCCCTGTCCCTTTTTTGGGAGCTGAGGTTACAAAGATGAATCAGAGAGAGGTCTTACCTTCGATAAGCTCCAATAAACTAGTAGGGAGTGATACAAATAAATAGACAAACAGAATACAATGTGGTCCTTGGGATGGCAAAGATAAAACATGGAAGGTTGTGGATGGGCATAAGAGGTGAGGAATATACTAAATATATATACAGATAGAGGCCAAGTTTAGATGCATACCCCAAGGCCAATTGCCTGATATATTCTGGATATTTGTCCCCTCTGAATCTCATGCTGAAATGTGATCCCCAGAGTTGGAGTGGGGCCTAGTGTCATGTGTTTGGGTCATGGGGGCGGGCCCTTCATGAAAGATTTGGTGTCCTCCCCAAGGTAATGAGTGAGTTCTCACTCTATGAGGTCCTGGGAGCTCTGATTGTTAAAAAGAACCTGCTTCCTCCTCCTCTCTCTCGCTCCCTCACTTGCCATGTAACATAGCTGCCCCCCCTTGCCTTCTGCTATGAGTAAAACCCCCTGTCCAGAAGCACATGCTAACTCCATACCTCTTGCAAAGTCTACAGAACCATGCGCCCAAATAAATATTTTTTCCTTATAAGTTACCCAGCTTCAGGTATTCCTTAGCAACACAAAGTGGAGTGTTACACCACCAAACAGCCAAAATTTAAGTCACCCTGATTTCCCTGACTTGTTAGCTTTAATAATAAACAAAGCACACAACATAAGCTTCATGTCCTTGTCAGCATGACTTAATGAAATTAAAATGTAAGCTTTACATCCTACTAAGCATGATGTCGTGAAATTAAATCAATCAGCTACGGGCAAATCAGTTTAAACAGTTCTGTCTGTCCTTTAAAAAGTTAATGTATGGCAGCCAATCACAAAACTAGGTCAAAATACTTTCTCCTTTATGCTCTGCAAATGGCACTGTAACTGCTACAAGGTGATCTTCTTACCACTTCATTTGAAGTCTCGCTGGTCACAATCCGTACTTTGTGTTTAATAGCAAACTTTAAAATTTTCCCTAAATTGTTCTGATTTTATTTTGGACCAATGGAATGGTGTGGAAGCGGCTTCTCAGAGAAAGGGACATAAGTTAAGTTTTAACAGAGGAGAAGCATTTAGCTAGTTGAAGTGAAACAGGCATTGCAGGTGGAGGGAAGAGCTTAAACAGAGAGAGTCACGAGGGTGAGAGAGAGGTGCACTCAGTAATTAAGATAGTGCAGTGACTTTTTGTAGCAGACCATGGAAGTTCGTTTTTTTCTTTGAGTCGAAGTTGCATTCTTTCACCCAGGCTGGTGTGCAATGGCACCATCACGGCTCACTGCAGCCTCGACTTCCTAGGTTCAAGTGATCCTTATGCCACAGCCTCCCAAGTAGCTCAGACTATAATAAGCATGCACCTCCACACTCATCTAGTCTTTTCTTTTTTTTTTTTTAATTTTTTAAAAAATTTTTTCACAGTTTCACTGTGTTTTCTAGGCTGGGATGGCAGTCCTTTTAAGTATAAAGAAAGTGTATAAAGAGATGAGCCAGAAGAGCAGGAACTGACCATGTGTTCACTCATCGGCAATGGTATATGCTTCCCATCCATCCAGCAGGAATGAATGCTAAAGTCACATTTTTGGCTGTAGGAAAGGTTAGCTGGGTAGGGAGGAAAAGGGAGTTAGGCACACAAGGTCAAGTCTCCAGGACTTGAGGCTGGGCAGAGAATCTATTCATAGATTTATTTAACATTTATTCAGCCCTTACTATATGCTTAGCACTCTAGTAAGTCATGGGGATATGTAAGTGGACTGAATAGCTGTAATTTCTGCCCTCATTAACTTTATATTCTAGCATTTTAGCATAAGGATAGATCTTCTTTAATAGTCTTGACCTCGGATGGGCTCAGTGGCTCAGCCTGTAATCTTGGCACTTTGGGAGGTCGAGGCGAGAGGACTGCCTGAGCCCGCGGGTTTGAGACCAGCCTGGGCAACATGGTGAGACCTTGTCTCTACAATAGATCAAAAAATTCGCTGGGTGTGGCAGTGCATGCCTGTAGTTCCAGCTACTTGGAACGCAGAAGCAGAAGGATTGCCAGAGTCCAGCAGGTCAATGCTGGGGTGGCTGTGAGCATACCACTGCACTCCAGCCTGGGTGAGGGAGTGAGACTCAAATTCAAAACAAAACAAAAAAAGTCTTGACCGCAATTATTCTGATTCCCTTCTGACAAAACTAGTGATTCCTCAGGTCAGTAGGATTTTCAACTCTCAAATGGGAAGGGGGTAAGGGAAGGCACACATCAAACCAACAAACCAACAAACAAAAACAACCATCTAACACTGTCAACTTTAAATTTTGTCAAATAAGGGCAATTTATTAAAGAGGGATATTTAACACCTAAAGTAGGAAGAACGATTTCAGGGAGAGAGACTGGCTCCTACAAGAAAACACAGTTCAGTTTACATTGACATATTCATTCATTTCTTTTCTGGCTCAATAGATGCTTCCTGAATTCCCATCATGGTCCAGGTCTGTGCCAAGCACTGAGCTAAGTGGTAAATGAAAGAGCATGGTTCCTGCCCTCCTAGAGCATCCTGCCTGGAGAGGAAAACAGACCAGGGTGACCAGTTCTGCGTGGTTGGCCAGGACTCTCCTACTTTTAGCACCGAAAGTCTTGTGATCTGGAAAATCCCCCAGTCCCAGTCAAAATGGGGCAATTGGCTACCCAAAGACAAACATTAAGAAAATCATTACAAAAACGTGTAATTACAAACTGTGAAAGGCGAATGAAGGCAAGCCAAAAGGTATGAGCACACACAAGTGAGGTATTTAATTCAGTCTATGGGTTAGGAAAGGCTTCTCTTAGGAAGTGATATGTGAATTAAGATGTAAAACATGCACAGAAATTATTCATGTGGGTGTGTGTGCATGTGTGTATGACAGAGGGGGAAAGAGAAAGAGAGAATGTGCTCTAGAGAATGTTCTTGCCACAAGCAGCACATACTAACTGGTACTTATACTTATCACTCTGCCTTTCTTTGCCCAGTGAAAATTTTATCAAGTGTCAATCCTAGAAAACCCCCTGCACCCTAGAGATTCTTTGGGGTAAATGAGAAAGTTCATATTCATAATCATTTAGGGTTTGGATAGGTAAAGGAACAGTCACCAAAACCAAGTCATCTCTTTTTGGACCCTGAATCCCCTCCCTTCCAGAATTATTGGCCCCATCTGATAGATTAGTCTCAGGGAGGTTGTATAAGATGTCCACGGCTAGTAGATGGCCAACCAAAGTGGGATCTGAACTGAGGCAAATATTGACCTCAGACTCCATGATAATGCTTCCCCCCGCCCCATTTGTATACATAAATTGCTTGGGAAGAATATGTATCACCCCTCTTCTTCCCACCTCCAGTCCCACAGTTTGAGGATGTTGCTGTGGCAGCTGCAGCGAGACTTCATTAGAAGATTGTGGCTCTGCTGCTCAGATGTCAGGAGACATCTTTGCTTGCTTCTGTCCAGAAAGAAAGTTTTCAGTTGACTCCTGTTTATCCTCACTCATCTGGAATGGCACATGCTACCCCTCAGACATCTGTGTAAAGCAAGAAACAAAGATTGCTTCTAGTCACTCCAAACCCTCTCTTGGAGGA